TAGTACTTCCGATGATCATCCCGACTAAGGCCTGTTAGTCTAAAGGGAACATCCCAACAACGAAGAATCAAACGCTGGGATCGATTTCCTAACCTAGCCTCGTGCAGCCTGCCAAAGCATGTCAACGCCACAGCTTCCATAGTCGAAAAACAATATAAGGCCAACAACAAGCTGGGGGAGGACGAGCGCCTCAGCAGCCTGGAAATGTGAGTGCTGTGAAGCAGGAGAGGACGGTCGTCGGCAAGCCACTACTCTTGTGCACTTCTTTCCGAAAACGGCGGCAATGAATGACAGGATCGCAGCACACGAAGCCGAGCCGAAAGAGCTCCTCCTCAAGGTGCTGGCACATGGCATAGAGGAGGTGAGACGAAATGTTTGGACATCGCGAAGACCGCTGAAGAGTTGCAGGAAACCCTAAAACCTAAAACCTAAGCCCTAGGCCCTAAACCCTAAGCCCTAAACCCTAGACCCTGATTCCTAAGTCACTTCCTACACCGAACAGTTTTTCAGTATTGCGGAGCCAAGGAGCTTGTCAGGGCTGTCTCTGCCAAAGCAGGAGATAGGGCCGGCCTTTTGGGGCCTTCAGGGAAGAGGGTTTAGGGTTCAGAGTTTGGGATTGTGACCCTAAACCCTAAACCTTAAACCCTAAACCCTAAACCCCAAGCTGGTCTATAGGGTAGAAGGTTTGGATTCTCAAGGTCTTTGAGGGTTTGGGCTTCAGGTGGACGGGTTTCCATCAGACTGACGGGAACCTCAAGGGCCCAAGAGCTTCTGTAGCCTCAATCACAAGGATACCCAGCCTGTCCAGGAGTCCAAGGACACATCCCTAAACCCTAAACCCTAAACCCTAAAGCCTAAACCCTAAACCCTAAATGAAAAAAAACCCAGAACCTAACCCTAAGGCCTGTTAGGTGCCAAAAAAAGCAGAACAGACATGCGACACTCTGGGGGGGGCCGGGGGGGGGGGGGGAAGGTTGGGCTGCGCTTCGCCCGGCCTTCCATTGAAGATCCCTTTTGGTCGATTTGGGTCATGCACATGTTCGCTGCAACAATTCAAGCGAAGTGGCATGTTTCGTAAATTTTTTACGGTTTCGTACTATTTCCACGGAAGACCAAGGTCTACTGATTTCTGCTTACTCTACTTAGTTTCAAATGTTAGCATCGCAAAATGTGCAAATGAGTAGACATGAGCCGTAGCCAGTAGACCTGAGCCGAAATAGCAGGAGTAAGCAGCAACAGTTAAAACGAAGTAGACATACGTAGAAACAGGTGGAAAGCAATAGAAGGATGTAGGTATTTATTGGAAACTACATGTTACCACCACGGCTAACATGAGTCACCCCGGTTCAAAGCCATGAAATAAAACACTATTAAACTGCGACCGTACATCCTGAACGCCTAAACCCTAAATCCAGAACCCTAAATACACCCTAAACCCTGAATCCTAACAGAAGGGTGCGCTGTGGGGCCTGCGTTTTTTTAACGCTCTTAGTGGAAGATTCCGTTGTTTGAGGTTGAATGGGCGAAGTTAGGTAGTTGAACTATATTAAGGTTAGATGGGCTCTTCGTTGAAGATTCAGTTGTTTCAGGTTGGATGGACGAAGTTAAGTAGTTGAACTATACTCAGCTTAGATGGGCGTGGTTGATTGTCATACTTGATTTCTTCTGGTTCTTTTTTTGTCGAGCCAGGGTTTGCTTATAAGCAGATGGTTTGCTTATAAGCATTGATCTTTTTTGGATGGTTTGCTTATAAGCATTGTTTTTTTTTTTTTTTTTGGGGGGGGGGGGGGGGTGCAGGGTCTTGGGGCTGTTGAGACACCCCCCCCCCCCTCCCCAGGTGCCTGGATTGCAACGAGCAGCTCGCAACCATCGAGCAGCACGCAGTAAGTAACCCTTAACCCCTAAACCTTTAACCTCATATAAACAATAAATATTTAGCATCTCGGCTGCATTAGTTTCTTTTTGGTGCATGTGTGCGCGCGCTAGTACAGATTGTCGCTCACTATATACTTATCAGCTGAATCATGAAATGCTATGACGAGTATTTCGGAAACTTTGCGCGCATACTCAATGAAGCGACGCCCGAGCGACATGCGTTCAAGGTGTTGTACTTTTGTAAGTTACACAACATTGCTGTGGAGCGTAGAAAAACCGAGTATCTGCCTCGCATAGGCGCGAATAGAAAGAACAAGAAGCGCAGCAAGCCGTACACGTGCGGGAACGGTCTCAAGAAAAGGCCTGCCGCAAAGTGTGCCAGAAAGAAGCCGGCTTCTCGACAGTGAAAAGAAAAGCACGGTGTCACTGTGTGTATCTCTCTAGTTTATATACTCACAGGCGAAACCAAGGAGCCGGATTCTAGGGGCTTCAAGGCACAGCTGAGTGCTGACGTGAACGGGGTAAAAGAAATACATCGCTGCTGAGCGAGCTGCACTTGCTGTTACGTATCCACAGTCGTGGAAAGCTTTTTTTTTTTTCGTTTTACTCTGCTGGCAGCCAAGGTATGGTCTACGAATGGAGTCTCTGGGATGAATTATTATCCTGTGTGTGCGCGCGTGCTCGTAAATATAAAGTATCCAGGATACAGAGTGTCATGTGCATGCACACCTGCTTTATAAACACTTGTGCACTGCAAAAACACAAAAAAAACACAGGCCCCACAGCGCACCGCCCTCAATCCTAAACCCTAAATCCTAAACCCTAAACCTATCAACCCTACACCCTAAACCCTAAACCCTATCAACCCTACACCTTAAACCCTAAACCCTATACCCTATACCCTATACACCCTAAACCCCAAACCCTAAACCCTACAAACCCTGAATCCTAAACCTCAAAGCCCTCAGCCACAGGACTTGGCGCGGCTGGTGCTGGATCATTGCAGTCCCTGCAGCCATCTCGAAGTCGGCCTCGGCACCCTTGGCGTTGTTTTAGGGTTTAGGGTTTAGGGTTTAGGGTTTAGGGTTTAGGGTTTAGGGTTTAGTTTAGGGTTCAGGTTTAGGGTTTGAGGTTAGGCTTTGTTTTGTGATGTGGGTTCTTGGTTTTAGGGCTTTAGGGTTCTAGGGTTTTGGGCTCCTAGAGTTCTAGGGTTTTAGGCTTTCAGGGTTCTGGTTTCCAGGGTGTCTACGCTAGGGCTCGCGAGACCACTAAGATAACTTAGCAACTTAGCAACATGGGTTTAACATGGGTTTAACATGGGTGTAACTTCTAAGTTTTTGTGTGGTTAGTTAAGCGTCTTAGCCTTAAGCTAGGCAACCCTAAGTATAGTTAGCTTTTGGCTAAGTTCAACATGCTGTGTTCATGCAACAACTCTAAAAAACTTAACTTTTACTTAACTTGAACTTAACTTTTTGATCGATTTCGGGAGCTCAAATTTCGTGCAAAGGCATGTCTGCCCCATGTCATTTTTTAATCCATGCTTTTGTATGATTTTATAGATTTTGTCCGTTTTCATACGTCTCGGACTGCTTTGGAAGCTGGCGGATGTCTTAAATTAGTTTGTGCAAGCACGATGCGTGTTTTCTCGGGTTTTCCGATCTTGCCTCATTATGTCGTAGGGTTCAATGTTAACACGGTCACGAACATACATCTGGTCTTTGCTACAGACTTTATTCTTGAGACTCTGGGTTGTAAGGCTCACGTGACAGAAGTCGTATACATTACACACTGAGCGCTTTGCGCTGCCATCTGATTGTGAAGTGCAAATTCCGTTACGTAGAGTTCTATGTGCGACAAACATGTACTTGTATACGCGTCGCAAATGTTGTCCGCACGTGACGGTTTGTTTTCGTCTCTTAAAAGCCATGGCAGCTTGCCGGCGGATTTTCGTAGCTGCTGGTGAAGTCTATATAGGTGCACATAGAACACCTGGCCCAGTTCCTGCGTGGCGCGGTACCCGAGACTCTATTCCCCAGCCCTAAACCCTTAAACCTGAAACCCCTAGAAACCATTATGCGCAACCCTAAACCCTGCACCCTCCCCTAAAGTCATGCCGAGCGCATCGCGCTGCTGCAAACCCTAAAGCCTAAACCCTAAACCCTAAGCCGTAAACCCTAAACCCTAAACCCTCAACCCTGAACGTGCGGCATCACAGTTCACGCACGAGCGCTTGCGCTGCACCACGCCGTGAGCAAGTGGGAACAGAGAGACCGCGGGGACGCGCGTTGAGAGTCCTATAAAGACCTGCAGGGTTTCGGGTTTAGGGTTTAGGGTTTACGGCTCAGGGTTTAGCTTCATAGGGTTTAGCATGCCACGGGATACCGCGCGATACCGCGAGAGACCGGGGGAGCTGAGACGATACAAGCGCGGTATCTCACGGTATCCCGCCTTGTCCTTGTAGGTTTTCGGACAGAAACCATGCACGATACCGCACGATACCGGTTTTGGTGGCTTTTGGATATAGGTTTCTAGACAAAACAAGGCGCGATACCGCGGGATACCGCGTGGAATCCCCCTGCCTCCCCATGCACAAAACCATGCCACGATACCGCGCGATACCGCGGGATACGCCCCAAAACGTGGCGCATCCTGAGTGTTTCCTGCTTTCCTTTTTCTCCACTGGCTCGTTTTCACAGCCTCCCTAGCTCCTGAGTTCGGAAGAGTTTCCGAAGCCCTCTCGACTGGCCACCGAAGCCATGGCTGCTGTGGACACCGTGTTTTGCGCTCGCTGCAAGGGAAGCAGTTTCGCCAACATGACGAGATTATAGACACCATGAACAGTGAGCGAAGACATCAGATCTTCATAACACTCTGCAACAACAAGATCAAAGATGTCAGGCACTTGGAGTGGGCTGTACTTGCTGGCTCCTTCTTTAACGAAAAGGAAGTCTTGGAGGCTGCGACATGGAATCTGTGCGTCACGACAGTGGAAAATGGTCGAAAGGCTGCTGTGTGTTCCTGGCGTCGATACATCGTGGGCAATCCTATCGTTGTGTCAAACCGAGACATGTGGGGTTATCGAAGACGCGCAGCAAACAGAAGCAGGAACCCTCTTGGTGCTCGCGATGTACAACCTGGCTGCAGTGATCGATACAGGAATCATGCAGTGGACGTGCAGTGATGTACAAAGAAGCCTCGAGATTGCGGAGGACCAGAGAAACGTCCTCCTGCCTGCGTGCTGGAAGTTCGCCGGGCCGTCGCTACTGACGTCGTGGTGAATAAACGGAGTACCGAGCGCAGTGCGCTTCTGCATGACTGATAAAGGTGGTCAGAGTCTCACTGCTCCGGGAAGGAACACACTACATTTGCCCCCAAAACGTATAAAACCCAGTATGTTTTTCAGCCTCCGGCTTGAACGCGTGCATTTTCTGGCAAAAAAAACATAAAGTGCATCAAATTAGAAGGTCTTATGTGGACATGGTTCATGTGCCAAAACAACAAAACGAAACAAAAAAAAGAACTTAACTTGAACTTAACTTTTACTTAACTCTGGTTTTTACATGCCTCAAAAGCTAAGTAGCTAAGTTCGCTAAGTTCCCGGATAAGTTATGTTAGCGCACTTCAAAAAGTGAACACCGACAACATGCCAGCGAGCCCTAGCGTAGGGGTCTAGGGATTTAGGGTTTAGGTTTGAGATGGTGTGGGCTCATGGCCGCGAGGACTAGCCCCAGGACTGCGCATTCACTGGGACCAGGGGCGATACTACTGATTTCTGATTCAGGGCAGGGGTTAAGCGTCAATTCCCTAATTTCTAAACGCTAAACCCTAAACCCTAAACCCTAAACCCTAAACCCTAAACCCTAAACTGCACTTAAGACACTCGCAGTCCGATTGCGTAGCCCTAGACTTGGTACCTCAGTGGTAACCTTTACCCTTTGTTGTGGTTATGGGTTCCCTGATACAGTAGCCAGCCCAAAAAGGGGTGCCCGCATTACAATATGTTACTGGGCTAGCCAAGTAGAAGACCGGACTGCCTTCACATGCCGCAAACTGCGACACCTGAGCCCACTCCAGGTCCGGTACTCCAAACCTACATGATGTGGGTGGCTTGATTCCCTAGAGTTTAGGGTTAGGGTTTAAAGTTTAGGGGTTAGGGTTTAGGGTTTAGGGTTTAGGGTTTAGGGTGTAGGGCTTAGGGCTTAGCTAAACCCCAATTCCCGGAGCCCACACGTCGATTGGGCTAAGAAGCCCCCTTTACAATTGGGCCTGTGCATCAGGGACGCTGTGCGCGTCACTCCACTCCGCAGTCAAGGACAGAGAGTTTGGGGGTTTAGCGTTCCGGGTTTACGGTTGGGGGTTTTTATTCAGGTTCAGGGTATGTCTAGGGGTTTTTTGGGTGAGGGCTTACAGGCACAAAACCTGGGTTCTTGAGCTTTGGGCTACGTAAGGTCTTTAGGGTCTTCGGGTTAGGGTTTCGGAGGTTGGGTGTAGGGTAGCAACGTTTTGGTTCAAAGCTCGGGGCCTTGGAAAGCTTTAGGTCCCTCCCTCCGCTTCCCCGCACCGCAGACTCCAAGAAATATGCAGCATACCCCTTGGGCATACCCGAAATGAAGGGGGTATGGTAAAATCCTTCCTTCTTCTCTCCTTTTGTAGGTTAAGGGGTATGGGTTTGGGGTCTGTTGAGTTCTTCTCAGATGGACAGCCCCTCTCCAGCAAAAAGCCCAAACCCTAAACCCTAAACCCTAAACCCTAAACCCTAAACCCTAAACCCTAAACCCTAAACCCTAAACCCTAAACCCTAAACCCTAAACCCTAAACCCTAAACCCTAAACCCGACACTACAGCTGAAGGACACCGCGCGGCATGAACCAAAGGCCCGTTAGGGCCCTGAGGAAAGTTGGGAGGGTAGATGGGGTTCGGGGTCTCGAGGGCGAATCCCTAAACCCTAAACCCTAAACCCTAAACCCTAAACCCTAAACCCTAAACCCTAAACCCTAAACCCTAACCCTAAACCCTAAACCCTAAACCCTAAACTCTTTGGGTTTCTGGGATCCTTGGGTTTAGGGTTTAGGGTTTTGGGTTTGGGATTTTGGGTCTGGGGTTTTGGGTTCAGATCTCACATGATTTCACGTTCCAGCTTTCACAAGTCAAGCAGCTCATCAGAGGGCACCGATGCGTACACACCCGCCCATCGACTCCCCCTGAACCCTGCGCTAACAACAAAACTGAAAACTGGCTGATGTGAGCTGCAGTAGACCCCCCCCCCCCCCCCCCCCCCCCATACGCAAAATGATTCTACGCTGTAGATCAGTAGATCCACCCCACGATGTAGTAGTGGTCCCAATATGCGCAACAATGCTGCGCAATGGGACGTTTCGGAGGCTTTCAATCGTCCACACCAGGGGACAGACCAAACACACCGTTGACTCCTCCCCAAACCTGAACCCAACACCCAAAATCCCTAAGCCCTAAATCCGAATAGCCCGAAACCCTCAACCCCAAACCCTCAACCCTAAACCCTAAAACCCTAAACCCTAAAACTAAACCCTAAACCCTGAACCCCCACCGGCCCTGCCATGTAGCAGCAGGTGTTCGCCGCGTCCTCCCCTCCAGCGAACACCGCACCGTTGACACCCGGCCTTGGGAAAGAAAGGGTTTAGGGCTTGGGGCCTTTGAGGTTAGGGTTTAGGGATTAGGTTTGAGGGTTTAGGGTAATTAAGGGTTTCGAATTTTGGGTTTAGGGCGTACGGTTTAGGGTGCTGGGGTTTAGGTCCTTTGATGCTTAGGGTTTGGGGCTCAAGATTCCACGACATCTACTTTGTCCAGGCGCCCCCGTTCTGCAAGACACTAGCATTTCCAGAGGGCCAGCACGGGGCCTAAACCCTAAACCCTAAACCCAGTCGTCCCAGGCTCAGTTCACCCTGTACATGGGTTTCGCTACTGCCCCCCTCTATACTACCCCTTTGTAGGTTCCCCTTGTAAAAGAACCTGAATTAGGCTTCGTTCTCCCTAAATAGCCTTAATTATGGGGGGACCCCGAGGGGGGGGGGGGGGGAGGAGGTCTAGCGGGGGGTAGTATAGGGGGGACCCACGAAATAGTGCAGGCCTGCAGGCCTCAGCCATTGTTGCTGTTGCTGTTTGCCCCGTCCTTCGGGGCACTGCAGCCCTCGGCCAATGTCGCGCCTCCTCATCATTTGGGTTTTTTTTTCTCCCAAAACCGGGGTATTCCTAAAATAGTGTACCCTATTATCGGACTTAAACCTAGTTTCGGCAACCCTCCTGTTTGAAGCCGGAAGCCTTGCAACTTCGAGCGCCTCTCCGTTCGGAGGCTTGCGCAGCAGAGCGTTCGCACGCGCCCGCACAGTTCAGGGCTTGGGGTGTTTTTGGGGCTTGTGGTTCTATTAATTACCTGGCCCTTCCCCTTCCCAAGAACCGAAACCTGAAACTCTAAACCCTAAACCCTAAACCCTAAAACCCTAAACCCTAAACCCTAAACCCTAAAACCTAAACCCTAAACCCTAAACCCTAAACCCTAAACCCTAAACCCTAAACCCTAAACCCTAAACCCTAAACCTAAACCCTAAACCCTAAACCCTAAACCCTAAACCCAAAACCCTAATAATTGCCTGAAACAAAAAATGCAGACTGCCAAGGAGGGAGCCCTCCCCTGTGGCTACTGTGGGCCTGGAGCCGGGCGCCTTGCCCTCAACCCCCCCCCTAATTACCCCACTCCCTAGCAGCAAAAGGAGCCAAGAGTTTAGGGTTTAGGGTTCAGGGTTTAGGGTTCAGGGTTTAGGGTTAAGGGTTTAGGGTTAAGGGTTTAGGGTTCAGGGTTTTGGGTTTAGGGTTTAGGGTTCAGGGTTCAGAGTTCAGGGTTCAGGGTTCAGGGTTCAGGGTTCGGTGGAGGGATCTTCCAATGTGTATGTTGAAGAAGGGCGTTGAGGGCAAGAATCTAGAGCAGGACCATGCGTTGCATGTAGTGGCCTGCGCAATCAAAAACCCTAAACCAAACCCTAAACCCTAAACCCTAAACCGTCAAGTGTACGGTTGGGGGAGTCTGAGCTAGTGGGCTAGCTTCGGTTCCCGGTACTGCCCTCATCTCTACAGCACAGCCTGAACCTGAAGCTCTAGACCCGAAACCCTGTAAACCCTATAAACCCTATAAGCCCTAAACCCTAAACCCTAAACTGTTGCTAAAGGATGTCAGGATGCGAAGTCGTCCAGGGCTGATTAGGGCTTTAGGTTTTTGGGTTTAGGGTTTAGGGCAAGCTTCAACAATTACCAATACTCTCCTCTTTGTGCAAGCACACAATAATTTTCAAGCATACACATTCTAACGACACATTGGACTCCTTCTGTTAATACCCTCATCTCGTCAACCTGTCGAAGATTCCCCCTGCAAGGCGCATTGTCTCCGACCCGCTTTCCGCGTGTCCGACCGATGCCCCCATACCAGGACATCAGACTCTAAACCCTAAACCGCAAGTGGTTTGTCCAAGCACTTCGGGTTGAAGATTCATGTGGCTTCTGGGTCCAGACCAAACCCTAAATGACTAAACCCTACACCCTGAAATCCCCTAAATTGCTACACCCTGAACCCCGAAGACACCAAACCCTAAACCCTAAACCCTAAACCCTAAACCCTAAACCCTAAACTGCAAGAAGCCCTACAGCACCAACCCCTGAACTCTTCATACCCATGTAAGCACCACGTACTGCCCTCACAGTTCAGACCAAGCTTCTCGGATGTGGAGTTGCTTTAGGATTTGGGGTTCATAGAGTTTCGGGCTTCAGGTTTAGGGTTTAGCGTTTAGGGTTTAGGGTTTAGGGTTTCGGGTTTAGGGTTTCGGGTTTAGGGTTTCGGGTTTAGGGTAGAAGGTCCAGCGCGAATTGTGTGGGGCCTGTCTGGGCATTCCTGGTTCAGGACGGTGACGGCGTGCAGTTTCACGATGTTCAGGTCCCCGGGGCGGGAGGGTCTGAGTTTAGGGGGGTTTCGGGTTTAGGGTGGATAGCTTAGAGGGCCCTAGTAAGCAGTCTCTGAAGCAATGAGCACTTTGGAGAATACTGGTTGCAAGCGGGAAGGGAGTTGGAGGGGTTGTAGAATGTATGTTGCAGATTTGGCGCGTGGTGGTGGATAAGGGGGGTCGTTTTCGCAAAAAAAGAGAGTTTCAGACATCGTTTTTCGGCGTTGCCTGGCATCGGCAAAAGGATGTATAAGACAAGTGCACAGTCATGGACTAGGAAATCTCCTTGTCTGACTCTTGGAAACCCTAAACCCTAAACACTAAACCCTAAACCCTAAACCCTAAACCCTAAACCCCAAACCCTAAACCCTAAACCCTAAACCCTAAACCCTGTAGCTCCACTGTTCGCCTACAACCTTCAACCTCAGACTGCCTCAAAACTTCCCAACCCCTAAACAGCAGGGAGCTACAATTATTTGGGGGGGGGGGGGGTGGGTCCTAAACCCGTAAACCAAAAACCCCTAAACCCTAAACCCCGAAACCGTAAAATCCTTTCGATGAGCTACAAAAAAAACCCTAAACCCCAAATGAGCCCTAGAAAGCCTACACCCCCTAAAAGTGCAACACCTCAAACCCTAAACCCTAAACCCTAGACCCTAGACCCTAAACCCTAAACCCTAAACCCTAAACCCTAAACCCTAAACCCTAAACCCTAAACCCACCCCACCTCTCAAGCGAGGTCTCGGGCGAAGAGGTGGAGGCCGGGGCCTTGGGCCTCGAATCTTGAGAGCTGATATCCTGGGACCCAGGGTTTGGGGTTTGGGGTTTAGGGTTTAGGGCTTAGGGTTTAGGGTTTAGGGTTTAGGGCTAGGACCCAGAGTAGGCCCTTTCCCTTTTTGAGGGTTGAGGCTCCTCTATAAGCCCCTAAGGGCACCCTTCTTACTCCTGCGCTACCCTTGGATCTAGGAAGCAGAGAATTTCGGGGTTTTGAGGCTTCAGGGTTTGGGGTTCTGGGGTTTTTAAGGATTAGGGTTCGGGGTCTCCCACAATGAGGCCTACGTAGCATGGTAGGGCTTGCTGTAGGCCGTCAGATTGACCGCAACTGCCCCCTGGTCCCGACACACCTTCGGCCTGAGGCCTCGGCGGATTTGTATAGGGTATATTTTCAGACGCTTTGTGTTGGTGTCATTTTCACCGGGATCATGTCTCATGTCTCATGCCCAAAATCCCCAAAGCCGCAACCCAACGCGCCCTAAACCCTCAAACCTAAACTACGAAGCGCTGCGGCAAGACATGTACTTCAGTTAAACTGCTAAGCCCTCAAGTCGAGAACCCTTGCGTGCACCTGACTCCTTACACACCCTTATAAGGCTCCCCTCAGTTTGACGCCCTGAACCCGAAATCCTAACACCTTAAGCCCCTAAACTCCCAAACCTCCCGAAGCCCCCCACTCCCCCACACCCTATTCCCCAAGCCTGAACCCCAAACCCGTGGTGATGGTGCTCCTGGTGGTTTCGGTGGTGCTGACAGATCCGCCAACCGTGGGCCTCCACGGTTTGCCGTTGCCCTCCCTGGACCCGGGAGGAGGGTTGGGATGTCACGGTTGAGTGGCCGAACCGGCAGTGCACCCTGCATCGTCCGGACTCTTGGCCCTGCCCGGATATGTTCCTGCTTTCCCTAAACCCTAAGCCCTAAACCCAAAACCCGGCAGGATCTTCCGGACTGGTCGAAATCCCGCCACCGCCACAGGGACTCCGGCACTTGAGCACGCACGGTTTCTGTACGCATTATTGTGATCCGGATTCCGGCGAGCGTTCCCATACATGCTACGGGTTGTGCCTCCGGGAGGGTTTTTTGTGGCGAGTTTCGCAACCCTAAACCCTTAACGGCCCTAAGCCCTAAACCCTAAACGCTAAACTCTATAAACCCTAAACCCTATACCCTAAACCCCAACCCCTTTCGGAGGTGCAGCGGTCGCCCAGTTCGGCGCCGGCGTCGTTGCTGCGGATGCCGGAGCTGTCACCGCAGCCCAGGCCATCGAGCTCTGACAGGGTGTAGGGTTTAGGGTTTACGGTTTAGGGTTTAGCCCTGTAGGGTTTGGGCCAAAATATAGGGTTTGGGTTTTGGGGCTTAGAGGGTTTTGGGTTCATGGCGGCGCAAAGCCTAAAGCCTAAACCCTAAACCCTGAACCCTGAACCCTGAACCCTGAACCCTGAACCCTAAACCCTAAACCCTAAACCCTAAACCCTAAACCCTGAACCCTGAACCCTGAACCCTGAACCCCTGAACTCAGCTACCCTCTCAGGCCCTAACATCCTGCAGACCCAACCGAGGGATCCCCTTCAGTCGACTCAAAGCCTCAAATCCCTAAGCCCCATTGAGGACGGTTTAGGGTTAGGGTTTAGGGTTTAGGGTTTAGGGTTTAGGGTTTAGGGTTTAGGGTTTAGGGTTTAGGGTTTAGGGTTTAGGGTTTAGGGTTTAGGGTTTAGGGTTTAGGGTTTGGAGGTTAGGAGGTTAGGGGTTAGGGGTTTGGGTTTAGGGTTCAGCAGCTCAAGTCCAGGCATTCGTTAGTCCAGCTCGCTACTCTGGTATACAATATCTGCCCACCCAGTTTTTTGATGAACCCTAAACCTTAAACCCGAGGCCCTGAACCCTAAGCCCTAAATACAGGAACCCTGCGACCTTGGGCCCTAAACCTTGAGGCTGCCGGAAGAGGTCTGCTCACGGAATTTGGCAAACTTGCTGGCCGCCCGGGGGGGGGCGTCTGCCCACGAATTTTGGGCCAGTATTGCTGGCAGCCCACGAAGTATGCCGTTTTGTGCCCATCTGTATCGCATCACTGAGCACGCAGAGCTAGAGAAGGCTGAGCGCGAGCTCGCGCGGCTAACGCCGGGCGACTGATCGTGGCCGACCTGCAGGAGGTAGGCAAATGCCAACGAGTTAGGAGCATTTTGCCGCCCACTCGGGCCGTTAAGGTCATTCTGACGGTTTGGAGTTTAGAGTTTACTCAACTTCTCTATAAACCCTGAAGCTCCTAAACCCTAAGCCCTTTATCAAAAAACCCTGTCAGCTCGCAAACCAAACCCCCCAAACCCACCTCTAAGCCCACAAACCCGAAGCCTAAACGGCGCTAAGCGTCCCTAAACCCCAACCCTAAGCCCCAAGCCCTAAACCCTAAACCCTAAACCCCCCCACCCCCCCGCAGACCCTCCGTGTGCCCCTGCGCTCGCGTCACGTCGAAGGCCCTCCCCCCGGCAATCGCCCCGGCGCGCCCCAAGCCCCTACGAGTTGGCGAGCCCCGGAGTGATTCTTAGGGTTTAGGGTTTAGGGTTTAGATGGGTTTAGTGTGTTTCAAGGGGGCATGTAACCTAAGGTTCCCTTCTACTCCCCACTACTCCCTAAGGCTCCCTAAGCTTCCCTAATAAAGTTCCCTTGGTACCTACCCCCCTTGAACCCCACTCCCTTAAGAACCCGATAGCCTGCGGGTTCAAGAAAGGCTTGTTGGTTTGAGGGTTTGGGGTTTAAGGGGTTTTGGGCTTCTGGTTAAGGGCCCCGGAGTCATCCGAGGTGTTGGGTTCGGGGTACCGGTTAATATTAGGGTTAAAGAAAGGCTTTTGGGTTTTAGGGTGTGGGGTTTTAGGGGGGTTTTGGGGTTTCGGGTTTAGGGTTTAGTGTTTAGGCTTTAGGGCTTATAGGTTCGGTTGGTGGTGGCCTTGGGGCTCTTCGGGAGGTATGCATCTCGGGATCTGTGCGAAAACTTGTTAAGTCCATCCAGATCCCTTAGCCCGAGAGCCCACATCGTTGAGTTCGCAAAGCCAAAAGATCCGCGAAGCCTAAACCCTAAACCCTAGACCCCAATTCACCCTTAAACCGTGAACCCTAAACCCTAAACCCGAATTAAACCCTAAACCCTAAACCTTAAACCCTAAACCCTAAACCGCGATTAAACCCTGAACTAGGGTTAAAGGTTTAGGGTTTAGGGTTTAGGGTTCAGTGTTTAGGGTTTAGGGTTTAGTGAATATCTTCTTATCACCATTCTCGAGCGACATGGAGTGCTTCTTGTGGCTGTGGGACTCCCTGAAGCAGCTGCGCTCTTAATGCACTGTTCCCCTCGATGGTGAGGATGCGGTGGAGCCCCAATTCGTGATGAAAAGGGTTTAGGGTTTAGGGTTTAGGGTTTAGGGCTTATGAGGAAGAATCACCCCGATTTGTTCGAATCAGTGGCATGGGTCGTGGGTCGCATGGGTTCCCTGCATTAAGCCTTGAGCGTAAAGCCAATTCGTTCATCCCTTGTTACCCCTAATGAACCCCCAACCCGAAGCGCTAGTAGAAGCCCTACGGCTTCTTACACGGTTTAGGGTCCAGGGTTTAGGGGGTTAGGGTTGTGGGGTTTAGGTTTATGGTCAACAACTACGCCCTAACTAAACTTAAGCCCTCAACCCTAAGCTGTAAACCCTCAATTCCCTACCCCAAACACCAAGCCCTAACTAAGCCATGAACTTCCTAAACCCTCCACCCCTAAACCTCTCAGCCCTAGAACCCTAAAACCCTAGAACCCTAGAACCCTAGAACCCTAAAACCCTAAAACCCTAAATCCCTAATAAAACCCTAAAACCCTAAAACCCTAAAACCCTAAAACCCTAAAACCCTAAAACCCCTAAGCCCAAAGGCCCTCAAGCCTTGAACCCCCAAACCCTAAACCCGGGGAAGCATCGGGCATCGGGTTTCACTTCAGTTTCGCTTCCCGAGGATTGTCTCCCCTCCCGCCATGGGCGATTCTAAAACCCTAAGCCCTAAAGCCTAAAGCCTAAACCCTAAACCCTAAACCCTAAACCCTAAACCCTAAACCCTAAACCCTAAACCCTAAACCCTAAACCCTAAACCCTGAACCCTGAACCCTGAACCCTAAACTCCCTAACCCCTATAAGCCCTAAACCCGGAACGCTGGACAACGTGGAAGTTCCAAGGACGAGGGGCCCCCAGAGAGCTGAACCCGATCAGACGCTGCAGGATCAGGGTTTAGGGTTTAGGGTTTAGGGTTTAGGGTTAGGGTTTAGGGTTTAGGGTTGGGCCACAAGCCCTCGACTTTAGGATTTAGGGTGTAGGGTTCAGGGGTTTAGCGGTTTAGGGGTCTTGGGTTTAGGGTTTACGGGTTTAGGGGTTTACGGGTTTAGGAATTTAGGGGTTTAGGGGTTTAGGGTTTAGAGGTTCAGGGTTTAGGGGTTTAGGTTTTAGGATTTAGAGCTTCAGGTTTTCGGGGTTCAGGAGACTTTTCGGGATTCAGGGGTTTAGGGGGCTCAGGGGATTAAAGTATCAGGGGTTTAGTTGGTTTAGGGTCTTGCTTCGTAGAAAGCAACCTGGGCGTTGCACTCATAGGGGTCTAGGAATATACCCTTAACCCTAAACCCTTTGGGGGGGGCTTGGACACTTCATTAGGTGCGAACATACGTCGCTGGACAGCCGGTGTTGGGTTTAGGGTTTAGGGTTAAGGGTTGAGGGTTTAGGGTTTAGGGCTTAGGGTTTAGGGTTTAGGGTTTAGGGTTTAGGGTTTAGGGTTTTAGGACGAGACTTGTGGGAAAACAGTTGGCTGCTTTAGAGCATCGATATCTCTGACGAAAAGGCAGGAAGAGGTGGACGTCGTATCGAAAGGCTTGTTGTGTTCTTGTCATTGTGGCGGTTGTTTTGTTACCCTAAACCCTAAACCCTAAACCCTAAACCCTAAACCCTAAACCCTAAACCCTAAACCCTAAACCCTAAACCCTAAACCCTAAGCTCAGATGTTGGCGAGGACGGCGCAGGAGCGTGGATTGTGCGAAGCGCCCCGAAACCGACCCAGCGCCAGGGGCCCCGGCAGTTAGGGCTTCTAGGGTTTCGGGTTACCCTAAACCCTAAACCCTAAACCCTAAACCCTAAACCCTAAACCCTAAACCCTAAACCCTAAACCCTAAACCCTAAACGCAAGGCCTCCGCAGGCTTCAGGCTTTGGGGCAGTCAATGCACGTAGAGCCGAAGCCTTTTGGAGCGCGGCTGTGTACTTGCGAACTCTATAAACCCTATAAGCCCTCGACACCCTTTAAACCCTATAAACCCTAAGACACCCGAAACCGCCTAAGCCCTAATGCTCAACGTTCAGTTTTCCTTTTTTCTGATTTAGGGTTGGGGGGTTGGGTTTAGGCATTCGGGTTCCGGGTTTCGGGCTGGGATGCTGGATACGAGGTTCAGGGGTAGAGTTTGTTGATCGGGGTTTTTGCGGGGAGTTCGGTTTCAGGGTAGGCGTTGTCCCCAGCGTGTCATCGTGTGAAGATAGAACTTTAAACTTTAAACCCTAAACCCTAAACCCTAAACCCTTCACCCTACACCCTACACCCTACACCCTACACCCTACCCGATCACCCCAAAACCCTACAGCTCTAAACCTCTAAAGCCGAAGCCAACGAAGCCAGGGGAGCACCCGTCAGATGAACCCTCTCAACCTAACCCTAAACCCTCAACCCTAAACCCTAAACCAGAAACCCTGAACCCTAAACCCTAAACGCTAAACCCTTGTAAAACCCTACACCCTAACACCCCTCTTCTTCATAGTGAGTCACCTTGTGGGCGTATGACATATGGGGCTGAGGGTGTTAAAGGACAGGGTGCCCAAAAGTACCCATTATACCCCTTGTTTAAGGGCCGAAAGCCATTCTGAAGCCCGTCAAACAAATAAGGGAAACCCTAAACCTTCTAAACCCTACACCCTAAACCACAAACCCTAAACCCTAAACCCTAAACCCTAAGCCCTAACTTACGATGAGCCAAGTTGCCACCTGGATAGGATTTTCCCTGAACCCTACACCCTTGTGAACATGCTGGCTAATCGTAAGTACGGGCTTAGGCTTTAGGGTTAGGGTTTAGGGTTTAGGGTTTAGGGTTTAGGGTTTAGGGTTTAGGGTTTAGGGTTTAGGGTTTAGGGTTTAGGGTTTAGGGTTTAGGGTTTAGGGGTAGGGTTTAGGGTTTAGGGTTTAGGGTTTAGGGTTTAGGGTTTAGGGTTTAGGGTTTAGGGTTTAGGGTTTAGGGTTTAGGGTTTAGGGTTTAGGGAGCACCTTTACCACTGGCCATGGACCAGCCGAAGGACTTGTTTAGGTCGGAGGGTTTAGGGTTGACAATCCCCTGAAGCCTTAAAACGCCGAAGGCTGGAGAGCCGAAACTCCTTAAGTTCCTCTTGAAGCCCAAACCCAGCACGGGAATTCCCTGTGCCACGTAACGCCTAAACCCTTAAACCCCACCCAAAATTCTCAACCCCCAACCCCCAACCACTACACCTAAACCCCGCCCGAAACCCTGCAGCCTCAACTCTAAACCCTAAACCCCTGAACCGTCAACCTTAAACCTCAAAACATCTAAACCCCATAGCCCCTAAACCCCCCAACCCTAAACCCCACAAATCCCTAAACCCCCAAGCCCCACCCAAGCCCTAAACCCTAAATCCTAAACCCCAAGCCCCAACCCTAAACCCCAAACCCCAAACCCCAAACCCCAAACCCCAAACCCCAAACCCCAAAGCCTAGACCCTAAACCCTAGACCCTAGACCCTAAACCCTAAACCCTAAACCCTAAACCCTAAACCCTAAACCCTAAACCTAAACCCTAAACCCTAAACCTGAATCTAGGAGCCGATGAGCTCTTGGATCTCGTGCCCCTCGTTGAAGCTCCGCCGCTTCTGCCAAAGCCGCCGCCTGCCCTATTTCGGCTTGGGGTTTGGTAGCCCTAAACCCTAAACCCCAAACCCCAAACACCTCAAACCCTAAACCCTAAACCCTCTAAACCCTAAGCTCTAGACCCTAAACCCTAAGCCCGCCCGCCACCCCTCTCACCTCTGTTGGGGTAGGCGGGCGCAGTCGAGCGCTCAGCGAGACCACGGCAGGCTCTGCTAGGCTGCAGTGCCTGAGAGGGTCGCCTAGCTAGAGTCGCCTAGCTCGTCTCAGATATATATTAGTACCCTAAACCCCAGGGGGGGGGTCCTTCCCCTGTAAAAGTCCCGCCTTTCCTGGCCCGGCCTGGAGGCTCCTGGGAGGCCCTGGAAGGCCTTGGGAGGCCCCTGGAAGGTCCTGGGCAGTTCTTGAGGCCCTAAGCAGCTTCGAAAGCGCTCCTCCCCGGACAGTTTCTGAGCCTTTGCGGGGCTCCCGCGACAGTTTCCGAGCCTTTTTGGGCTCCTCCCAGACAGTTTCAGCGCCTTTTTGGGCTCGTCTGTTGGGCTCCTCCCGGACAGTTTCTGAGCCTTTTTGGGCTTTGCCCGAACAGTTTCGGACAGTTTCTGAGACAGTTTCTGTGGCGAGCCTTTGTGGCTCCTCCCTAGCCTTTTTGCACTTACCTGGACAGTTTCTGAGCTTTTTTGGGTTCCCCGGACAATTTCTGCGCCCTCTCAAAACGGGAACGCCGGATTTTCTGTGAGAGGGCCCTTCGGCCCGGTGGGGTTTACCTTCTGGCCAAGTGACTAGGTCCCTCAAGGCCCTGACCGGTTTTTAGGCCCTCAAAACCCGCCCAACCAGCAAAGTCTTCAGTCTGCCCCCCAAAAAGCCCGAGGAGGCCCTGGTAGGCCTGAGCTTCGGCGTGGGGGAGAGACTTGCAAAACCTGGAGACTCTTCACGCCCTGGAATTTTCTATGAAAGGGCCCTTCGGCCCAGACCGTCCCCTGCGCGAAACCTGAAGGGGGGGCTCCTTTGCCTTCTGCCCCAAAGTGACCTCCGAAGGCAAGGGACACCCTTGGCTCAAAGCCGCAAATGTCCCAAGCAATGCTCGACAGGTGCCCTCTGGCCCCAGATGACCTCCGACTTCCAGTGTGCCAAGTGACCCCCCAAAAAAGTCGCCAACAGCTCGCCTCGAGTTCGGCAAGAGTTCACGACTCGCAAATGTCCCAAGCATTCGCAGTGTTTTTATCTTAGTGTCCTCTGAACATATTCGATGCGTGAAATTTGAATGGCTGGCTTGGCTTTGGCTGGCTCCGGTTTGGTTTCGTGATGCGTATTGTTTGGGTGGCCTCGGGGTGGGCATGTCTTCACACTATTGCGTTCAGCTGACCCGTGCTACACCCTAAGCCCTAAACCCTAAACCCTAAACCCCAAACCCTAAACCCTAAACCGCTTTTTCCCGCTTTTTTGATTCAAGCTTCCCTTGCAAACTAACCAACCCCAACAAGAGGGTGCCCTTATTGGAATATGGTTAGGCTGGGCTACCAAGGCTTGGGGTTTAAGGTTTAGGGTTTGGGGGTTTAGGGGGTTTAGGGGTTTAGGGTTTAGGGGTTTTGGGGTTTTGGGGTTTTGGGTTTGGGGTTTGGGGGTTTAGGGGTTTAGGGGTTTAGGGGTCAGGGGTTCAGGAGTTTAGGGGTCTGGGGGTTTAGGGGTTTGGGGGTTTAGGGGTTTAGGGGATTGGGGGCTTGGGGGTTTGGGCATTTGGGGTTTGGCGTTTAGAGGTCTAGGGTCTAGGGTCTAGGGTTTGGGTTTTAGTAGCTAGGAAAGTGGAAGAGTTTTGGTGTAGAGGCTAGGGTGTGGATAGCCCCGAGCCCTTCTATTCGCCCTGCAGATTGCATGTAGCCAGTATCCGCTCGCTACCTCTTCTCGTACCCAGATCTCCCAAACCCCAGACCCTACACTCCAAGCCCCAAACCTTAAACTCTAAACCCCACACCACAAGCACTCAAACGGTGTGGCGGGGCGTTCTGCCCTGAACCCTAAACCCAAGCTCCAAACCCTAACTACCCCTAAACCCTAAGCCCAAAACTCCCTAAATTCCCTAAGCCATAGAAGCCCTAAACCCTAAACCCTAAACCGTAAACCCTAAACCCTAAACCCTAAACCCTAAACCCTAACCCTAACCCTAACCCTAAACCAGGCAGGGGCGCGCAAGCCCTCACCAGGCGCCTCATCAGGAGGCTGAAGCGGCACGATCTCCCAGGTGCCCAGGCTGAGGTGTTTAAGGACTTTTTTGGGGGTGTAGGGTTTAGGGTTTAGGGTTTAGGGTAAGGACTTCTTTTGGGGTTTATATGCTGGGATGCTCCCCCTATACTAATAATGCTTGATAAAGATTTTTGCAGGGCACAATTTAATCCCGATTGAGGAGGACTGTTAGTATAAGGGGGAATCCCCAATCTTATAGGGTTCAGGGTTGTGAGGGTTCTTAGGATTTATAGGGTTTGAGGTTGAGGGTTTAGGGTTTTTTGGGTTTGGGGTCTAGGGCGTTTTGATTTGAAGATTATTGGGTTTATAGGGTTTATTGGGTTTATATGGGTTCATAGTAGGGTTTCTGGTGTTTAGGGCTGTTTAGGATTTTTTTGGATTCTTTTAGTGCTTTTTGGGATTCTTAGGGTGTTTAGGGTTAGGGTTTGTAGGGTTTGGGTTTAGGGTTCAGGGTTTAAAGGGTTTCGGGTTCAGGGTTGGGATGTTCCCCTTGGACTAACAGTCCTTAACAGGGATTGTAGTATCCCCCCGTTAGCAATTAAGGACTGTTAGTACAAGGGGGAACATCCCCAGTTCAGGGTACATAGGGTTTATCGGTTTAGAGGGTTTCAAGGGTTTTGTGGTTTAGGGCTTCCGGCTCTTGAGGGTTGAGGGCTTTCAGGTTTATGGAGTTTGTAGGGGTTTACAAGGTTTGTAGGGTTTACAATAGGGTTTGGGGTTCAAGGTTGAAGTGTTAAGGGTTTAGGATTTAGGGTTTAGGGTTTAGGGTTTAGGGTTTATTTCAGGGTTTAGTGTCGAGGTGTTTTTGTGGGCTGGAGTTGAGCGTTCCGGGCTTTCTAGGCAAGCAGGGCTTTCGAACCTGTTAGGCCTGAACATTTAGGGCGGCTAGGGTTTCGGGCGCAGGGTTTATGTTTGTTGTTTTGGGGGGGCCCTAAAGCCCTGACCCCTAAACCCAAAACCCTAAACCCACAACCCTAAACCCCATAGACTCAGCGGGCAAGTGAAAGGCACAACGCGCCCGCGGAAGAGCTACCGCGGGCTGCTGCAACCACAGCAGAGGCGCCTTCGGATGTAAGAAAAACGCTATTGAGGGCAATCCCTGAGTGCTAAACCCTAATGGGTCCCTTTTCGACCGATCCACCCTAAACCCTAAACCCTAAACCCTAAACCCTAAACCCTAAACCCTAAACCCTAAACCCTAAACCCTAAACCCTAAACCCTAAACCCTAAACCCTAAACCCTAAACCCTAAACCCTAAACCCTAAACCCTAAACCCTAAACCCTACACACGGCTGGCCCTAGAGCGACAGAGGCGCCAGCTGCAGAGGCTCCGGCAGCCGCCGCATCGTCGGAGGCAGACAGGCCTGGCGCCGACGCTGGGCTCGGGTTTAGGGTTTAGGGTTTAGGGTTTAGGGTTTAGGGTTTAGAGTTTAGAGTTTGGGGTTTAGGGTTTAGGCTTTGGGGTTAGGGTTTAGGGTTGAGGGTGCGTAGAGTCTAGGGCCCTTCAGGTTTAGGGTTTAGGGGTTTAGGGTGTAGGGTTTAGGGCGCTTCGGGCTAGGGTGTGGGGTGTAGGGCTCAGGGTCCTTGGAGTTTATGGGCCTTTAGGGTTGAGGGTCCAGTTTAGGGTTTAAGGGTTAAGGGTTCAGGGTTTAGGGTTTAGGGTTTAGGGGGTTCATGGGAGGGCTTTTGCTCACCTTCCAGAGCAACTGGAGGTTGAAGGTGGAGAGATATTTGTGGATTTGCAAGGCATAGGCGTAGAGATTTTGGTCAGGGGTCTAGGGATAGCCTATATTATATAAGGTTCAGGGGCTTTAGGGTTTATAGGGTTCAGGGCTTTTAGGGTTTATTAGGGCTTATAGGGTTTAGGGGCATAGGGGCTTAGGGGAAAATTAGGCTTCTTAGACACTTAGCCCTACAGGTTCCCTGCAGCCCCATGCCAAGGACCCCAGCGCCACGGCGCCCACCCCGGCTTCGGCACCTGCGCAGGACGCACAGAAGGAGGTGCCATGGCTGTTCAGGGCCAACAGTTTACGGTTACTTTGGGGGGGGGGGTGAGGGTTGGGGTTTAGGGGTTAGGGTTTGGGGGAGGGGGAGGGTTGGGGTTTAGGGTTGAGGGTTTAGGGGTCAGGGGTTACGGGTGGGGTCTCGGGCTTGGTGTTGGACAAAGTTTTTTTTGGAGGGAAGTTGTTCACGGTTGGGTATATGTGTATACACATGAGACCGCCTACTGCGTAGTTAGAATGTCGTGCGTCTTAAGAGGTACTTGAACCCCTAAACCCTAAAGCCTGAACCCTAAACCCTAAGCCCTAAACCCTAAACCCTATACCCTAAACCCTAAACCCCAAACCCCGAACCCCAAACCCCAAACCCCATCCAACCTGTCAGATCGACCACACCCGCAAAATCCATTCAACCCAGGAGCCCGAATCCCCAAAGTCCCGTAGTCAAACAGGGTTTTCTTGTACTTTTTGGGGTTGAAGAGGCCTTCAGGTTTTTTTGGTTTATAAGGTGCCTACCCTTGGCTTAGGGGCTTATAGGGTTTAGGGTTGAGTTGGGCGGTTGTCAAAATGATCGTCCCTTTTTGGAACCCTATAATCATACGGCACCTATTTCGGGTACCCCAAACAGGATCATAATTTTGACAGCCACCCATATAGTAGATCCTAGACCCTGAACCCTGAACGGCCCTAAACCCTAAACTCAAGATGGACCTGCAAACCCTAACCCGACCCAAGCAGGACTGCATTATGTAGCTTAGCTAGTTGTCGAGTTGAGGGTTTGAGAAATTATGGCCACTGTGTTTCGACGACTTTGCCATGTTCTGACCCGTTTGAGCCCATGCCCATGCCAAGGTACCTGGGTCCGAAACTCAGAGCCCGAAAACCTCAGCTCTAAACCCTCAGCCCCTAACCCTAAACCCTGAGCCCCTAAACCCTAAACCCTAAACCCCATACCCTAAGCCCTAAGCCCTAAGCCCTAAACCCTAAGCCTAGGTGGAGGTGCCTGGAGAGGCGCCACCAGCTGCGGAGGAGTCGGGCGCCGACGTTTCTGCGACGGAGACTTTGGTACATTTCTCCAGGTTTTGGGTTTTAGGGTTTAGGGTTAAGGGCTAAGGGCTTAGGGTTTAGGGTTTTAGGGTTTTAGGGTTTTAGGGTTTTAGGGTTTTAGGGTTTTAGGGTTTTAGGGTTTTAGGGTTTTAGGGTTTTAGGGTTTTAGGGTTTTAGGGTTTTAGGGTTTTAGGGTTTTAGGGTTTTAGGGTTTTAGGGTTTTAGGGTTTTAGGGTTTTAGGGTTTTAGGGTTTTAGGGTTTTAGGGTTTTAGGGTTTTAGGGTTTTGCGTTTTAGGGTTTTAGGGTTTTAGATTTTTTTGGGTTTAGGGTGGATTGAGGGGTTGGAGCTCTACGGCTTCAAAGGGCTTTAGTTGGGGCTGCTGGGGGTTAATTAAGAAGTTAATATAGGCCCTTCGGGCTTTTGGGGGCTTAGAAAGAGGGCTTTGGGTTGTTCCGGGGCTTTTGGGGTGTTAAATTTTGTTTTTCTAGTCATGTGATTCAAAGAACACGGCAGGGTGTAGAAACGGCCTATCGGGCCAATCTAGAACGGCGGTTGCAGCCCAAGTCCAGGATTGAGGGTTTAGGGTTTAGGGTTTCGGGTTTCGGGTTTCGGCCCTACCGTCCGCACGTGCTCCCCAGGACCAGGGCGCCTCATCAACATCCCCGCCAGCCGCATCCTCTGCTCGGGATGCCAAAGAGGCATCAGCCTGGAACTCGCCGAGGGTTTAGGATAGTTTAGGGTTTAGGGGTTAGGGTTTTATAGGGTTTAGGATAGTTTAGGGTCCGAGGTACAGTTTCCCTCAAAAGCCCCTTTAAGCCAAAAGTGCAGTTGTGTTCTTCCTAGGTTACTCTTTCGAGTACATCTGGTTGCCCTAAACCCTAAACCCTAAACCCTAAACCCTAAACCCTAAACCCTAAACCCTAAACCCTAAACCCTAAACCCTAAACCCTGAACCCACCCTAAACCCCTCTGAATACCCACGACTCCTACTCCGAACTTCCCCTATGCCTCGGGTCGATCTCGATCCGCCTTCCTTCGTGTTTGCTGAGTTTCTATTTGGGCGTGGCTGTAGGGTTTAGGGTTTGGGGTTTAGGGTTTGGGGTTTAGGGTTAGGGTTTAGGGTTTCGGGTTTCGGGTTTCGGGTTTCGGCCCTACCTTCAGCACGTGCTCCCCAGGACCAGGGCGCTTCATCAACCTCCCCGCCAGTCGCATCCTCTGCCAGGGACGCCAAAGAGGCAGCATCCTGGCACTCGCCGAGGGTTTAGGATAGTTTAGGGTTTAGGGTTTAGGGTGTAGGGTTTAGGGTTTAGGGTTCAGGATAGTTTAGGGTCCGAGGTACAGTTTCCCTCATAAGCCCCTTTAAGCCAAAAGTGCACTTATGTTCTTCCTAGGTTTTGGGTCAACGATGCTGAAGTTGGTGTCCCTCTTGGTGTGTGGAAGGTTTAGGGTTTAGGGTTTAGGGTGTATAGGAGTTAGGGTTTAGTTTGATCCAACATCTCATTAAAGAGAACTTCCTGGAAGGGTTTGGGGTTTGGTCAACGCCCCTCCCCTCCAAAACCATATACGCTATGCCTTAACCCTCAGCCCTAAACCATAGAACTGCCTAAACCCTAGACGCTACAACCCTAAACCCTACCAGCACCGGATAACAACTTCATTACTATGTAGCCCGGCAGTACCCTTTTCCCTTTTCTTGGTTCAAGGTTCACTTATAAAACCCTAAACCCTAAACCCTAAACCCTAAAACCCCAAAAAAGGGGGCACCCTTATTAGAATATGGCGACTGGCTACCCAGACTAGGGGCCCAGGGAGCCTAAGCTAGGGTTTAGGGTTTGGGGTTTAGGGTTTAGGGTTTAGGGTTTAGGGTGTAGGGTTTAGGGTTTAGGGTTTAGGGTTTAGGGTTTAGGGTTTAGGGTTTAGGGTTTAGGGCGAATGTTCAGGCGCCTTCTCCAGCAGCGCAGGAGCTCGGCATCGGGGACGCCGAGGCCTGTCGAGCTGGACTTCCAAACCCTAAACCTTAAACCCTAAACCCTAAACCCTAAAGCCTAAACCCTAAACCCTACACCCTACACCCTAAACCCTAAACCCTAAGCCCTAAACCCTAAACCCCAAATCCTGAACCCTACAACGAGCCTGCAAAGCTTCGAAAACACCCGGAGACCCGAAGCTGCAACATCCCCAAAGCCGGAGCAAACTGTCAGAACTCCCGAAATGCCTAAACGGGTGTAGGGTTTAGGGTTTAGGGTTTAGGGTAATGTCGTATCCTGATTAGTCTGGACCCCTCCCATAATGAAAAGTTTTCCAAAAATTATTCAGGAGACAAAAATTCGATTGCCCCCCCCCACAATAAAGTAAAGTTTTTCGGGACCTGAGCACGGAAGGCTGCGAACTGTGAGCTTTTAATTACTGAGCTTACCGGAGCTTTCCTGAGCTGAGCTCATCTGAGCTTACCTGAGCTCACCTAAGTTTACCTGAGCTCTTACCTTTAGCTTTAATTACTGAGCTTACCTGAGATTTCCTGAGCTTACCTGAGCTGAGCTCATCTGAGCTTACCTGAGCTTAATTACCTAAGAGGAGAGGGAGAGGAAGAGGAGAGGGAAGAGGAGCGAAGAGGAAATGAAGAGGAGCCGGTGGGGGGGGCCCGGGGCCGAAAATTAGTTTGGGGGGGTCCCTTTTTTTGGTGACACTATTGCGGGGGTGGATTTAGTTTGGGGGGGGGGGGGGGGGGGGGGGGGGCCCCTAATCAGGATACCACATTAAACCCTCAGCCCTAAACCCTAAACTTGGCATGTTCCCCCCGTATACTAACAGTCCTTAATAGGGATCATAACAGGGGGTACTATGATCCCTATGAAGGAGTGTTAGTAGGAGGGGGAACCTCCCGACCCCTAAACCCTCAAAACCCTGAGACCCTGCAAGCATGCGGCTGGAAGCCCAACATCCCTCAACTCTTCCGAACGTTTAGGGACTAGGGAAATCCCGGGGTTTAGGGTTTAGGGTTTAGGGTTTGGGGTTTAGGGTTTAGGGTTTAGGGTTTAGGGTTTAGGGTTTAGGGTCTACACTCTGAACTCCCTCCCTACTGCGCACCTTCCCACCCCGATGCAAGCAAAGAACGTCAGCGAAGTCAGCAATGGCGATTTTCAACTCAAACGTCCCAAACCTTAAACCCTAAATCCTAAGCCCTCTACCCTAAACCCTAAACCTTAAATCTTAAACCCTAAACCCCAAAAGACTCTAAGGCTTCAACCACCGCAGAAGCTGCGGCAACTGCGAAGGCCGGATCCCGAAGAGAAGGTTTAGGTAAGGGTTTTGGGTTTTGGGTTTTGGGGTTTGGGGTTTCGGGTTTGGGGTTTTGGGTTTGGGGTTTGGGGTTTCGGGTTTCGGGTTTTGGGTTTTGGGTTTCCGAAAAGAGGGGTAAATTACCCTTTGGGGAGAGAGGGGGGGGGGGGTCCCTTTAATCATTTGTCTATTGGGGGTATAACAAAGAGGTACCATTTTGGGAAATACAATATGCCTTTTGAGGCCTTGGGGCCCTCGGAATTGGTTCTGGTTTGAATTGCGATGGTTTGAGGGTGTGGGGGGGGGGTGCTTCGGTGCCTAAACCCAAAACCCTAAATGCGGGTTCAGGGTTCAGGGCCGAGGGTTCAGGGTGCAGGGTTTAGGGTTTGGGGTTTAGGGTTTAGGGGCTACGTAGGCTGTGAATCTGGCGTATTGGGGGTCAAGCATGCCGAGGGTTCTCTGTCTTGCCATGGCAGGTGCCAGCAGCACACACTGCCCCGAATGCGGATGGTCCCGCGGCTTGGCGGAGACGAAAACTAGGACCCAGAGTAGGCCCGCCCCTAATCCCTAAACCCTAAACCCTAAACCCTTTGTCTTCCTGGATTACTCTTGGGTGTAGAAAGCCCAAAAACTCCATGCATCCCTACGGCTTTGAGGGCTCAGAGCTTAAGGCAGGTCGTCTATACTTGGGCCTTAATGGTTCCGTTACCCCCTCCGGTTTTCCCTACTTGTAGATAGTAGTGTTAAGGACCAAGTATCTACTACCTCGGTACATACACGATCACAAACCCTAAACCCTGAGAACTTCAACCTTTCAGCCACCACTTCGATCCTCGCCCTTCATCCTCAATCCTCAAGCACTTGGCTTTAGGGTTTAGGGTTTAGGGTTTAGGGTTTAGGGTCCCTAAACCCTAAACCCTAAACCCTAAACCCTAAACCCTAAACCCTAAACCCTCAATCCTCAATCCTCAAGCACTTGGACAAGAAGACTGAACCCTGCATGCACCTGCACCCAAGGTAGCTCGCTGCCGGCTTCTGCTGGGGCTCCCAAAACCCTAAACCCTAAACCCTCAACCCTAAACCCTAAACCCTAAACCCTAAACCCCAAGCCCTAAACCCTAGACGCTAAACCCTAAACCCTTCGGGTTTAGGATTTTGCTTTTCAGGGATGCCTCAAGCCCTAGCCAGCCAAGCTCGCGTCCGGGTTCTAGTACGGGCCCCTGAAGCCCTAAGCCCTAAGCTCCGAAACCCTGAAGCCCATATAGATTCTGAAAACTACGATTTGCTCCAGAAGCCGCCCCCCCCCCCCCCCAGGCAATTATATATATATATATATATATATATATATATATATATGTATACATTTTTTAAAGTAGCAACAATCATAATCAGAATTCTTATCATCACACAATAAGCAATTAATATGGACATCATGAAGGAAATAAAGAAAGAAAGAAGAAATGAAATAAAGAGATACAGAAAGAAATAGAATACAACATACACAATGTTTCTTTACAAGGCCAGTATAGGGATTGCCATCTTTGTTGTTTTTTGCGGTTTCTTAGGCAAATCGTAATTGCAAGAGTGTGTGTGTGTGTGTGTCCCTGAGTCCGTGCAATTGTCGAGTAGAATGTTGTGGTTCTTGTTGTTCTTTTTACATATTCTTGACAACTTTCTATTTGGACTTCTCGTATCGTGCATGTGCTATCATCATGCAGTAGAATTTCCGTGCAAAAAGATAGGCTTATAAGCCCAAATGCCGTTCCTGGACACTCAGCTGGAAATCATAACTCTGTTGCGGCCACAATCAAGGTGCTGAGGAGATCCGGGAGGGATGCACGAAAGTCACGAATCCATTGGATCAGATACCGCTGGACTACATGAACGAGATGCTTTTCCCGGCCCTGGATGCCCTTTTTGATGTGTACTGTGGGACTCCTACAACGTCGGACGAAAACCGTGAGTGCGCAGAAAGCAGGCCCTCACGTCTACGCTTTTTGATTCTCAAACCTATAGACCCACTCAACCCTTCTAGCCCTCAGTCCTTTGAATGCTTAACCTCAGGAGGGGTCAGAAGTTAAACCCTAAACCCGAAACCCTAAACCCTACCCTAAACCCTAAACCCGCGAACTGACCCAAGGACCAGACCCAGGACATGGCTCTGCCTCCAAACGCCCGCCCGCCGCTCCGGAAGACCACCAGCTCCTCTTAAGTAAAATTTCGGGGTTTAGGGTTTAGGGTTTAGGGTTTAGGGTTCATAAGGTCTAGGGTTTTAGGGCATTAGGGTATTAGGGTTTAGGGTTTAGGGGTTTGGGGTTTGGAGTTTGGGTTTAGGGTATACATTGGGGCGTTCCCCCGAATACTAATAGTCCTGAATCGAGATTCTAGTACCTCCCCCCCACCCTTTATAGTCTCTATTTAAGGGCTGTTGGTATATGGGGGAACATCCCACGATTTACATGTTGCTTAGTGGAATGCATGAGACTTTGACTTATCCGTTCAAAGCCCGATATAGCCTCTCGATTTGTTGTTGAATAGGGGGCCTTTGCCCCTTGCTCCTTTTGGCCAAGGAGTGGCTCAAGGGTTTCGGGCATAAGGTGGCTTGAAGCCTACATGGGGCTTTAGGGTGTAAGGTAGAGCACATGGAATGTTACCTAAGTATCACTTGGTTGCCCCAAACCTGACAATTAGCATCCCATTCAGGGACTGAAGCCTAAGCAAGAATAGGCTATTTGCTTGCTTCCCCTACACGCCAAACCTTACAAACCCTAAACCCCAAACCCTAAACCCTAAACCTTACACCCTAAACCCTAAACCCTGAACCCTAAACCCTATAAACCCTATAAACCCTATAAACCCTATAAACCCTATAAACCCTATAAACCCTATAAACCCTATAAACCCTATAAGCCCTATAAACCCCAATTAAAGCCTCGGGTTGAGAGGCCAGGGGGCCCGATGCTCTAAACCTGCGGAAGATATAAGGTCGGGCGCGGAGGTTTGAGGGGCTGCATCAGGTGGCGTTCGTATTGTAGGGTTTAGGGTTTAGGGTTTAGGCTTTAGGCTTTAGGGTTTAGGGTTTAGGGTTTAGGGTTTAGGGTGTAGGGTTTAGGGTTCAGGGTTTAGGGTTTAGGGTTTAGGGTTTAGGCGATGTAGGGTTCTTCCATAAAATGGAGAGTGTATCCGGTGTGCTCTAAGTGCTACTGAGAATACAATGCTACTTCGCATGCCTCAACAAGTCGTCTTCAGACCTCTCATTTCCCTAAACCCTAAACCCTAAGCCCGAAACCCTTCACCCTAAACCCTGGTTTCACTCAACAGCTTGCTGGGGAGGGGGTGAGGGGGACTCTAGGTACAGTAGCCTGTACGAACCCTAAGCCCTAAACTATGAAAGCCCGAGCCTGAAGGTCCTGGACCGTAATCCCTCAGGCCTCCAAACTCCAGGCCCCCCGACCCTAAAGCCCCTAAATCCTAAGCCTCAAACCCTAAACCCTAAACCCTAAACCCTAAACCCTCTAACCCTCTAACCCTCTAAACCCTAGGCCCCAAAAGAACTTAGGTTTGGATGGTATCCCAGAGTTGCACGCTGGACCAGCTGGCCAGTCAGCTCTGAGGATGGGCAGGCGGGCAGGGTTTAGGGTTTAGGGTTTAGGGTTTAGGGTTTAGGGTTTAGGGTTTAGGGTTTAGGGTTTAGGGTTTAGGGTTTAGGGTTTAGGGTTTAAGGTTTAGGGTTTAGGGTTTAGGGTTTAGGGTTTAGGGTTTAGGGTTTAAGGATGTCGGCGCTTAGCGCTTAGGGCTTTCAGGCTTAGGCGCTTCAAACCCTAAGCTCCAGCAACCCCAGGCAAAATGCGCGGAGCCTCTCCGTCTTCACCGGCCTTCTGGGACCTACCAAGGACTGAAACCTTGAGCCCTATAGACCCCCGAATCCCTTCGCCAGCATTCTCTCCCCTAAACCCTAAACCCTAAACCCCAAACCCCAAACCCCAAACCCCAAACCCCAAACCCTAAACCCTAAACCCTAAACCCTAAACCTAGCCCCACCAGGAGTTTGCGTCTTCAGCAGGCCTGGATGCTCCTGCAGTGGCGACAGCATCGGCAGCCTCACACCCAGGCAGGTGCTCTGCAAGCTGTTGCCTTACATGCTTGGGGCTCAGGATGGTTGGAGTTTAGGGTTTAGGGTTTAGGGTTTAGGGTTTAGGGTTTAGGGTTTTAGGGTTTAGGGTTTAGGGTTTAGGGTTTAGGGTTTAGGGGCTCAGAGTTTTTTATGATGGGTTTAGGGGGGGGGGGGGGTTTTGGGTTTTGCAGTTAGTGTTGGGGAACTGTGCCGGAGCTCCAATACAGAGAGCTGACATGAAGAAGCACGCATGGGAGGTAGCTGGGGATCCTTTTGTTCGTTGCGCTTCCTGAAGCCCCACTAGCAAGCCCAAACCCTCCCCAAGACCCCCCTTTAATCCCCCAAAACCCCCTAACCGCCCTAAAAATCATCCCAAATTGTAGGATCCCCGTTTAATAAGGACCCCCAAGAAGGTTCGCTGGGTGTAGGGTTTAGGGTTTAGGGTTTAGGGTTTAGGGTTTAGGGTTTAGGGTTTAGGGTTTAGGGTTTAGGGTTTAGGGTCTAGAAACCCAAAAACCCCACACTTCTGTGTTGCCTCTGCCTTCCGAATAGGAGCCGAGGAGCCGACTACTGAGGCCGAGCCGACGACGGAAAAGCCGGCAGACCCCTTGGCGGAAGTTGGAGGGTTCAGGGTTCAGGGTTTCGGGTTTAGGATTTGGGGTTTAGCGTTTAGGATTTAGGGTTTAGGATTTAGGGTTTAGGGTATAGGGGAGCCACTCTGGCTTCGAAGAGGCAACAAGGGTTAATCGGGACTTCCTTGGGCTGACAAAAGTTTTTCAGGGTTCGCACAGGGTTTGTAAGGGCTTCTCAGGCCTTATGAAGGTTTAGGGTTTAGGGTTTAGGGTTTAGGGTCTAGGGTTTAGGGTTTAGGGTTTAGGGTTTAGGGTTTAGGGTTTAGGGTTAGGGTTTAGGGTTTAGGGTTTAGGGTTTAGGGTTTAGGGTTTGCAAGAGTTTTTAGGGTGTACACTTATTCCCTTCTCGCGGGTCAGGTTCCCTTCTAAACCTTGGGCCACCAGTTTAGGGTTTAGGGTTTAGGGGTTTAGGAGTTTAGGGGTTTAGGGTTTAGGGGTTAGGGGTCTAGGGTTTAGGGGTTTAGGGGTTTAGGGGTTTAGGGCTTTAGGGCTTTAGGGCTTTAGGGGTTTAGGGGTTTAGGGGTTTAGGGGTTTAGGGGTTTAGGGGTTCAGGGGTTTAGGGGTTGAGGGGTTTAGGGGTTTAGGGGTTTAGGGTTTCGTCTCTGGTTGCTTGGTTACTAGACAGCGTTGCTACGGGTTGGGACTCTAGGTAGGGCTTAGGTTTTGTGATCCTTCGGTGCCATATATGATTAGCAGCTTTTGGCCTGTAGGTCTTTAGGCCAACGCACAGCACTTGCACGCCCAGATTCTGCAAGCAACTTGGGAGCCAAAGAGCATGCAATGTGGTTCCATCCTAGTCGTACGAGCTCTTCTGGCGAGGACGCGCCTGCTCCGGACAGCCAGCCTGCTGCCCCTGAGCCGAGCCCGAAGTCAGCCAAGGCCACGCCCTGACTGTTTGAAGGGGCTTTACACAGCATCCTAGGGCTGGAGTCAGGGTTTGACTGTCAGACCTGACAAGCACTTCGCGTTTGAAGTTCTTGTGGCTCCATCCTAATCTTACGAGCTCTGCCGAGGACGCACCTTCTCCGGACAGCCAGCCTGCTGCCCCTGAGCCGAGCCCGAAGTCAGCCAAGGCCACGCCCTAACAGTTTGAAGGGGCTTTACGCATCATCCTAGGGCTGTAGTGACTGTCAGACCTGACAAGCACTTTGCGTTTGAAGTTCTTGTGGCTCCATCCTAATCTTACGAGCTCTTCTGTCGAGGACGCACCTGCTCCGGCCAGCCAGCCTGCTGCCCCTGAGCCGAGCCCGAAGTCAGCCAAGGCCACGCCCTGACTGTTTGAAGGGGCTTTACACAGCATCCTAGGGCTGGAGTCAGGGTTTGACTGTCAGACCTGACAAGCACTTCGCGTTTGAAGTTCTTGTGGCTCCATCCTAATCTTACGAGCTCTGCCGAGGACGCACCTTCTCCGGACAGCCAGCCTGCTGCCCCTGAGCCGAGCCCGAAGTCAGCCAAGGCCACGCCCTGACAGTTTGAAGGGGCTTTACGCATCATCCTAGGGCTGTAGTGACTGTCAGACCTGACAAGCACTTTGCGTTTGAAGTTCTTGTGGCTCCATCCTAATCTTACGAGCTCTTCTGTCGAGGACGCACCTGCTCCGGACAGCCAGCCTGCTGCCCCTGAGCCGAGCCCGAAGTCAGCCAAGGCCACGCCCTGACTGTTTGAAGGGGCTTTACACAGCATCCTAGGGCTGGAGTCAGGGTTTGACTGTCAGACCTGACAAGCACTTCGCGTTTGAAGTTCTTGTGGCTCCATCCTAATCTTACGAGCTCTTCTGTCGAGGACGCACCTGCTCCGGACAGCCAGCCTGCTGCCCCTGAGCCGAGCCCGAAGTCAGCCAAGGCCACGCCCTGACTGTTTGAAGGGGCTTTACACAGCATCCTAGGGCTGGAGTCAGGGTTTGACTGTCAGACCTGACAAGCACTTTGCGTTTGAAGTTCTACACTTGCACGGCATGGGGCTCCATCCTAGTCGTACGAGCTCTTCTCGCGAGGACGCGCCTGCTGCGGACAGCCAGCCTGCTGCCCCTGAGCCGAGCCCGAAGTCAGCCAAGGCCACGCCCTGACTGTTTGAAGGGGCTTTACACAGCATCCTAGGGCTGGAGTCAGGGTTTGACTGTCAGACCTGACAAGCACTTCGCGTTTGAAGTTCTTGTGGCTCCATCCTAATCTTACGAGCTCTGCCGAGGACGCACCTTCTCCGGACAGCCAGCCTGCTGCCCCTGAGCCGAGCCCGAAGTCAGCCAAGGCCACGCCCTGACAGTTTGAAGGGGCTTTACGCATCATCCTAGGGCTGTAGTGACTGTCAGACCTGACAAGCACTTTGCGTTTGAAGTTCTTGTGGCTCCATCCTAATCTTACGAGCTCTTCTGTCGAGGACGCACCTGCTCCGGACAGCCAGCCTGCTGCCCCTGAGCCGAGCCCGAAGTCAGCCAAGGCCACGCCCTGACTGTTTGAAGGGGCTTTACACAGCATCCTAGGGCTGGAGTCAGGGTTTGACTGTCAGACCTGACAAGCACTTCGCGTTTGAAGTTCTTGTGGCTCCATCCTAATCTTACGAGCTCTGCCGAGGACGCACCTTCTCCGGACAGCCAGCCTGCTGCCCCTGAGCCGAGCCCGAAGTCAGCCAAGGCCACGCCCTGACAGTTTGAAGGGGCTTTACGCATCATCCTAGGGCTGTAGTGACTGTCAGACCTGACAAGCACTTTGCGTTTGAAGTTCTTGTGGCTCCATCCTAATCTTACGAGCTCTTCTGTCGAGGACGCACCTGCTCCGGACAGCCAGCCTGCTGCCCCTGAGCCGAGCCCGAAGTCAGCCAAGGCCACGCCCTGACTGTTTGAAGGGGCTTTACACAGCATCCTAGGGCTGGAGTCAGGGTTTGACTGTCAGACCTGACAAGCACTTTGCGTTTGAAGTTCTACACTTGCACGGCATGGGGCTCCATCCTAGTCGTACGAGCTCTTCTCGCGAGGACGCGCCTGCTGCGGACAGCCAGCCTGCTGCCCCTGAGCCGAGCCCGAAGTCAGCCAAGGCCACGCCCTGACTGTTTGAATAGGCTGCAGGGTCACAGCATCTTCGGGCTGGATTTGAGCCCCACACCCTGAAACCTACTCGTGATCTAGGGTTTAGGGTTCAGCGTTGACGGTTTAGGGTTTAGGGCTACGAGCTTGGGGTTCCGTAGGTCGAGAGGTTTGCATGGGTCTCCAGACTAAAGGACCGACCGCGGCGACGCCCCAAGGTTGCAGGGTTTCAGGGCTTCGGGAGTTTAGGGTTTAGGGTTTAGGGGTTTAGGGGTTTAGGGTTTAGGGTTTAGGGTTTAGGGTTTAGGGTTTAGGGTTTAGGGTTTAGGGCTGAGTGGAGTTCAAGTCAAGAGTGCTGTGCTGAAGGGGTGAGGACTAGGTTTTTGTGCTTCTCTCTTTCTCTCTCGCATTGTTGGCATTCTTGACCATGGGATTTGCGGTTTCATTGCAACCCTGAATGCAACGCGGAATAGATTCTATTCGAATACCCGGGAATAGGGTTTCGGATAAAGTTGGCTCTTAGCACGCGAACCCCAAGCCAACACCAAACACCAAACCGCAATTCCCCAACCCCAAACCCCAAACCCCTGAGCTCCCAAACCCTAAACACCTACACCTAAACCCTTACCCCACCCCCCCCCCCCCTCCCCCCCCCCCCCACCCCCCCCCCCGTGTGCAGCTTAAATAGGGTCTATTTGGAAGCTGAGACTCGTGTTTTAAAGAGCAAATCAGGCCCCAAAACGTATACTTATTTACAAGAGACAACTTCCAAATAGACCCTATTTTAGGTTCTGTAGGGTTGCCAAGACAGAATTTAATTCAATTAATTCAATTAATTAATTTATTTACACTTGGGGAGGTTGAATTAATTGAATTAATTGAATAAATTCAATTAATTCACCCCCCCCCTTTTGGAATTAATTGAATTAAATGAATTAATTCCATTAATTGAATTAATGGAATTAATTGAATTAATTCAATTAATTCAATTAATTCCAAATGAGGGGTGAATTAATTGAATTAATTCAATTAATTCAGTTAATTCAATTAATTCAATTAATTCAATTAATTCAATTAATTCAATTAATTCAATTAATTCAATTAATTCAATTAATTCCAAATCGGGGGGTGGGGCTCGGGGCTGGGGGCGGGGGGGGCGGGGCACCATTTGGAAATAATTGAATTAATTGAATTAATTCACCCCCCCCCCCCTTTTGGAATTAATTGAATTAAATGAATTAATGGAATTAATTGAATTAATGGAATTAATTGAATTAATTCAATTAATTCAATTAATTCCAAATGGGGGGTGAATTAATTGAATTAATTCAATTAATTCAATTAATTCAATTAATTCAATTAATTCAATTAATTCAATTAATTCAATTAATTCAATTAATTCAATTAATTCCAAATGGGGGGGGGCACCATTCCGGGCTCGTAAATTAGTATTGCGGGGAGGCCCGGGCTCGTGATTTAGTATTGGGGGGAGGCCCGGGCTCGTGATTTAGTATTGGGGGGGCCCGGCCTCGTAATTTGGAGGCCGGGCTCGTGATTTAGCCCGGGCTCGTGATTTAGTATTGGGGGGAGGCCCGGGCTCGTGATTTAGTATTGCGGGAAGGCCCGGGCTCGTAATTTAGTATTGGGGGGAGGCCCGGGCTCGTGATTTAGTATTGGGGGGAGGCCCGGGCTCGTGGTTTAGTATTGGGGGGAGGAGGATTCCCCAGCCCCCACCCCCCATTTGGAAATAAATGAATTAATTGAATTAATTGAAATAATTGAATCAATTCAATTAATTCAATTAATTCATTTATTTCCACAGGGGAGGTGGAATTAATTGAATTAATTGAATTAATTGAATTAATTGAATTAATTGAATTAATTGAATTAATTGAACCCCCCCTTTGGAAATAAATGAATTAATTGAATTAATTGAATTAATTGAATTAATTCAATTAATTCCATTAATTCATTTAATTCAATTAATTCAATTAATTCCACCTCCCCTTTGGAAATAAATGAATTAATTGAATTAATTGAATTAGTTGAATTATTTCGATTAATTCAATTAATTCATTTATTTCCAAATGGGGGGGATTCCCCAGCCCCCACCCCTCCCCCCCCTTTGGAAATAAATGAATTAATTGAATTAATTCAATTAATTCAATTAATTCAATTAATTCAATTAATTCAATTATTTCAATTAATTCAATTAATTCAATTAATTCATTTATTTCCAAAGGGGGGGTGGAATTAATTGAATTAATTTAATTAATTGAATTAATTCAATGAATTCAATTAATTCATTTATTTCCAAATGGGGGGGATTCCCCAGACCCCACCCCCCCAGCTCGATTTGGCCAAATTTTGCCCGGAGGCTGCCCGGCAAAATTTGGCCAAATCGAGCCGCGCCTTTCTGGAGGCCCGAAATTATTTAAACTATCGCGGCTCGATTTGGCCAAGTTTTGCCGGGCAGCCTCCGGGCAAAATTTGGCCAAATCGAGCCACGCATTTCTCATCGCATACGAAGGGCAGCCCGATTTGGCCAAATTTTGCCCGGAAGCTGCCCGGCAAAATTTGGCCAAATCGAGCCGCGATAGTTTAAAAATTTCGGGCCTTCAGAAAGGCGCGGCTCGATTTGGCCAAATTTTGCCCGGAGGCTTCCCGGCAAAATTTGGCCAAATCGAGCCGCGCATTTCTCATCGCGTTCGACGAGCAGCCCGATTTGGCCAAATTTTGCCCGCAGACTGCCCGGCAAAATCTGGCCAAATCGAGCCGCGCCTTTCTGGAGGCCCGAATTTATTTAAACTATCGCGGCTCGGTTTGGCCAAATTTTGCCGGGAAGTCTGCGGGCAAAATT